GTTGATGATAGATTCTTGTGTGAACAACAAACTTCTGTGTGCATGGAGTCTTATAAAACATGCTAATCCAGCAGTTTAAACCTCAACAAACATGTGGAAATCTCAGACTTCTTGTATTAGTTTAACAGTTTAGATTTCAGAATTTCCTGCTCTTGTTTTAAAAATGTGAAAAACAGGAGTATTTTTCAACAGTTTGCAGTAGTTCAGGTGCTTTCAGAGACAAGTGCAGAGTTTTGCCATCATGATGAGGTAATAACAACTGGCATACGTACAGTGCACTTCCTGATTATTGGACAATAAAAAGGATTAGATGCAGACAGTACATAACGGACTTATTTAAGGTTAACTTTAAGGCTGACTTTGTTGTCCCTGAAAAATTAGCCTTCTGCATTTGACCCATCCTTCAGTGCTGCTGGGGAGCCTCATCAGGAGCAGTGACCCGGGCCTCATGTCCAGATCTAGAGCAAGTGTAGGTCAGGATTACTTTAGCTGGAGGATTGTATTTATGGTGCATGTTTTGGTTTGATGGGGGAAATATGTAGTCTGACTCATCAGACAGTTTCACTTGGTAAAAACTGTTCACTTGATGGTAGGCGGGTACTTTTTTAATTTAACCAATCACTGCTATTTGATCATGACATATGTATGTGTTGCTAATAATAATAACGTCTTTCCCCTTGATAAAATTCACCAAACATTCTCTTTGTTTCAGCTTTAAATCCTCAATCTCAGGAATCGTTGCCAACACAGAATGTTTGGCTCTTCTCTGATTGGCTGGAGCCTGAACTTGCACTTCGGGGTTTTCGCAAACTGTCGAGAGTATTCTGATTCCTGACCTAGTCGCTGGAGAGAAATTAAATTGAGTGGAGGCACTAGGTGGCGCCAGCCTGGATAGGAAACAGAATTGCCCAAAGGAACCACCCCCAGACACAGGGAGAACATGCAAACTTCATACTGAAAGGCTGTGAATTGAACCATGAACTTTCTTGCTGCTTATACAATATTTATTCCATACTGGCTCAGACTGGTTATCTGTACTGCCGGGGAAATACCCGGTGGGCTGGTGTCCTGTCAAAATGACCTACCTGTCAATTTGAGCTGAGGCAGAAGTTTATAGTAGAAGAATAGTTTGGATTTAATATTTGATTTTATCATTATCATTTTCATTGCATCATATTTTATTTTGTTTCCATGTGTAGAAAAGGTTTGTAACTTTGTTTAGAAAGGCATTGTATAAATAAAATTTAATTGTATAGATTTGTTCCATCAGTGTCTCCAGTATCACAGAGGTGAGGTGAGCGCCCTCTAGTGGAGCATTATTTGGGAGAAGATCTCGACCTGTCAAGATTTGCTACCTTCACCCATTTTCGTCTAAGTGAGTGAATAATGCTGATCCTACAGTGGGAGCTTTATTTGATGGATAAATTTGCAAATTGAATTGTCTGCTCTGTAGCTCAGGTCAGTGCTGTAAGTGTAAGTGAGTAGCTTACATAGTTTTGCTTTTGCTTAGAAGTTGTTGAGGGTCAGAAAATTCATTGAGAGTCTACAACAAGTCAAGGAGTTATTCTTAAATGTGAAACTGGAACTGTCATGTGTACAGAAGAATGTTACCTGTTCAGTAGTTTAAATGAACAAGCCCAGTGCTGCTGCTGGTTGGTCTGTTCATCCTGATGATGTCACCTGAGTGTCACAAAGATGTATTATCTTTCTTATCTTACAGTGAAATGGTGTTTTCATGGTGTTTAGGTGTGCTACAATATTGCACTTTTAGTGATTTTGTCTGTAATTATCTTTATCCTTTCCTTTGTGTTTGGGTTCAGTTTTGTGCTGCTACAACACGGACTTTCATTGAACATACTATGTTCTGTGTTGTGGGGTATTTGGGCATTGGGGGCTCGGTGTGGGTGGGCGGAAGGATGTGTGAGTGTGTTTGGAGGCAGGTTTGTTGGTCCAATAGTGGGCTGGTCCAGAGGGAAAATACCAGGGCTGAGTTATGTTCCTAGTCCGACCCTGATCCGATATATAGCCGTACTGGAGAAAGACAAAGTTTGCTCACATGGGAACACGCCGCAGGGCCTGTGCACCGTCAGCACCAGCTTTATTTAGAATCTTAATGGCAAATCAAACTGCAGTTGGATCATATAACACTGTGACTCAACCCGGTGGGAATCAATGAGCTGCTTTATCACTTTAAAGCACTATGGACGTTTCCTAATTGTATAACTGACTTTGTAAGTAATTCCTCCCCAACCATATATAGAAGAACGAGAACTTTGCACATCAGTTACTTGAGACGGGTGCGTTGGAGGAGACGGAGCAGCCCAAGAATATAGAGAGAAATCCCACACACTGTCTTATTGGCAAATTGTGTGATTTATTAGAACAAACCGTGCAACGTTTGGGCACGTCAAACAGTGCTGAAACGTTGCACCATTTGTCCTAATAAATCTCACAATTTAAGACGGTGTGTGGGATTTTTCTCTAAGTCATTCCTTCCATCATGCTCTTTGTTGTATTTCAGACACACTGAAATAGATTTAAAGGTGCACTGTGTAACTTTTCTGTTGTAGGGTCTGTCAAATATTCTTTTTTTTTTTCCATGAACATGATATTCTTTTGTCTGGAATGTTTCAGTATGGCATTAAACCTTTCTAGCATCATGAAGATCAAACCAGACCAAGTTACAAGTCAGAACTGTGGAGAGGCAACCCCAATCCGTGTATCATTCATTCATTCCTTTTTCAATATAAAACCAAAAATAAGAAAATGAAAAAAACAACAGTTTTCTTCATTATTTGTCTCCAAAATCAAGATGAAAAGAAAAGATAATGTTTTTCAGTTTTCGATTTTGTGTTTAAATGAAAAATGGAAAAAACAGATAACGGCCGTTTCCCGTTTACGTGACTTCTGTGACTGTGATGCCGAACTTTTGCACTGCACACAAACTGAACCAGACCGGAACAAGACCAGGACTGAGACCGGAACCAGACCGGAACCAGACCGGGACAAGAGCGGACTCCGAGCTTTGACTCCGAGCCTCCGCGGGGTCCGAGCCTCAGCTTCGAGCTCCGGACCTGCCGTGGGCTCTGAGCCTCTGGTCTGGTCCCAGTCTGGTTCTGGTCTCAGTCCCGGTCTGGTCCCGGCCTGGTCCTGGTCTCATCTCGGTCTCAGTCCCGCTCTGGTCCTGGTCTGGTCTCAGTCTCGGTCTGGTCCTGCTCTGGTCCTGGTCTGGTCCTGGACCTGGATCAGTCCTGGTTCAGTCCGTACGTGGTGCAAAAGTCCGACATTACAGTCACAGAAGTCACCTAAACGGGAAACGGTCGTTATCTGTTTTTTCCATTCTTCATTTAAACACAAAATCGAAAACTGAAAAAAAACAAATCATTATCTGTTTTTTCATTTTGGCTTTGGAGACATAGAATGAAGAAAATGTTTTTTCATTTTTAAATTTTTGGTTTTATATTGAAAAACCAATGAACGAATGACACACGGATTTACCCCGCTCACAGTCAGTATATTTTTTAGCTATAAAATCACCTGTAACTGAATAAATATGAGGTGAAACAGTTTAATGTCACACTGTGGAACATTCCAGACAGACCCCTGACATCTCCATAGAAAAAAGAAGGTGACGGACCCCCAACCAAAAACTTACATAATGCACCTTTGAGTGTAAGTCTGTAATTAAATTCCTCTGGCAACAGTCGGGGAAAGACACCGAAGCCTCGTCTGCTCTCATCAATATTTATGATGTGTAAATAAACCCAGAGAGAAGTTCCACACAGTCACAGAAGATCCTGTCTCCAAACTCCTTCAGCTCATCGAAAGCACGACATGTTTATTTGTACAGAACTATTCATGCATGAAGCACAGAAAGACACGTAAATCCAAATACAAACACATCAAAACACAGATAAATCAAGATGAGGAAACATTTCAGTCATGTGACGTTAAACAGACGCATTTGGAGCCTGGATTTAAACCTGATCAGAGCAGAAGTCCGACTCACATCTGCAGGAGACTGTTCCAGAACACAACTTATTAACAACTCTATTATTCATGCTCATTTATTTGTAAATATGTCAGCCTAATTATTCAGTTCAACAGCTGTCGTGTCGCAAAACTGTTGATGCATTTGCAAGAAATAAATATGTACTACAGTATATGCTACAGTATCTTATGATAATGAAAGAATCTAATAATGAAACTAAGCCCCTCGTTTGATGTCAACAGTCCACTCCTCTCTCCTCTCTCCAAAACACTAATGAGTAAGTGTGGATTTTGCCAGTGATATTAGACTGAAATGTATTATTCATGTCAAAGAAGAGCAGATGTGAGAAAACTGTTCCCAAAAGTGCAATGTATTAAATATGTCCCTCCCCTCCTCCTGTACTGGGACACTGGACAGAAGACACACAGACAGAAACATGTCCCAGAGTGTACACACATGTGGGAGTGTGTCCTCTGTCACAATGTTGAATCATGAATGATTCTCTCTGGATGAAAAGTCAAACTGGTATAATTATGCATCATATGTTCTGTTCCTGACAGTTTGCCCTAAAATCTGACAAGACCAACCCACATTAAAAATGAGAAGCTTCTGAAACCTCAGGAGCAAAAATAATAATTATGTGACACTCTGGTGTGCAGCCTGTCAGAAGTAAACTGAAGTACAGAACTGAGCTCTGTCTGGACTATAGGCTCATTTCAAACAATATTGAAAACAATAATTGTAAGATTCATTAAAAAAGTATCGTCCAAACCTCGTGTCAGAGCAGAATGTGACGCCGAGGACAGCTGCTCCCACACACTCCAGGACCACAGACACAGACTTGTGTGGAGTGAAGTCACAGCCTGAAGTCTCCTGCTGAAGAGACACTGTTGAGAATATACCAGGTACCAGAGTGGAGCTGCTGTTGTGTCTTTAGGCAAGACACCACCCACAATGCCTAGTATAAAAGTAGTGTGTGTGTGAGTGTTGATGATGGTCGGAGGAGCCAATGGCGCTGACTGGCAGCTTCACTTCCATCAGTCTGCCCCAGGGCAGCTGTGGCTACAATAATAACTTCTCACCAGTGAGTGTGGAGTGAATGAAGGACACTGTGAAGCATCTTTGAGGCCTGTAAACAAAGAGCTGAATGTTCTGAATGTGTTATTCATATTATGATAAAATAGAAAGTCAGTGAAGTGTGTGACATATTTTAGTGTTTAATGTGTTACTCATGGATCTCAGAACAGCACATTTTACAAAAATGTGTTCTTTAAAAAAAAAAAAAAAAAGTTTTCTAATGATGTTTGACATTCCCAGTCCTCTGTGCATATTTATTTTCATTCATTTGATGGGTTTTATTTCTTCGAGTATCAGACTTATTTTTCTCGCATGTAAATTATTCCAAACTTCTGGACAGAATTCTCCCTGTGTGACGTCATCAGAGTTCAGAGCTCTGCACTTCCTCTAATGTGATTCCAAGTAGAGCAATTCACATATTTGATTTACCTTTTATTAACATTTTTTGGCATATTACTTCTTAATGTATGTAAACTATCTCTTACATTTACAACAGGTATTGTCCCATCAATCATCCAAACCTGTCCTACACACAGTCACACTCCCACTGCAGCCGTGTGTGTTTCCTGAGCCCTCCTCTCTGCTCCACAATCCACTCCCTCCAACGCTCCTGTTACACTCACTGTGGATCAGCTTCCCTCTCAGCAGCACACCTCTGACCAGCAAACCCCTGACCTGCACAACTCTGACCTGCACAACTCTGACCAGCACGGCTCTGACCAGCACGGCTCTGACCAGCACAGAGCTCTTAACATG